TGGTCAGAGAGATTGTTTAGTTGCCCTCAGCTGACAGTGGTTGTCCTTCAGCAGCCGTTTGTGTACACCTGTAATGGTACTTGGGTGGATTTATCCCCTCTGCTCACTGAACCAGCGAGCTGAGAGAGACACATGGAAACTCTCCCTTGTGTTCACATACTGGTGGTGGTCTGAGACACACTTTGGAAGAGAAGTGTTTGGAAGTTCAGCCTGATAATTTGTGTGCCAGCCTTTGGAATGCACTGTCTTACAATGTTTGCTAACATTGCCAGAGATCTGTAGGCTGATGAAGAAAAATGTGTGTGCCATGGGAAATAGATGCATGGCTTGTTGCTGAGATGGGAGATTGTATTTCCTTAATGGATTAAAGGGGATCAGAAAATGCTGTCTCTGGCAAATGTGAGATGTATTTGTCTCATGGGTAGGCTTTCAAATTACAATTTTAGGCATTGAAGCAAAAAACAGCTTTTCTTAAAATGAAATTGAATGCATGGTTTTATCTCTTCCTCACCAGATGGAGCTGAGTACTTGTTTCCCTGGAATTCCTGTTTTCAGAAACATTATCAGGCTCTTCAGCCATGTTCTTTGCAGAAATGGTGGTGTTGGAGGAGAGGCACACACTGGTCTTGCCATGATATTCAAGGGGCAGCTCAAGAGCTCAGATCACAGCCATTCCCTGTCCCAAGTGCCATTGTGGCTCCTGTGAAGGTCAGGCAAGGCTGCCAGGGCGGCCCGTGGGGATCCAGCTCAGCTGCCAGGCCATTCCCCTGGAGCAGGGCCTTGGCACATCCATCCCAGCTGGCACAGCCCCTGTCACCGGGATGCCACTGCTCTCTGGCGAACGGGGGAGCTCGGAGGAATGATGACTCCCTGTGTGACCAAAGCAGAAGGTTATGATAGTCATTTTCTAATTAACCTGAATGAATTTTCTAATGCTGGAGTGTGGTGGGTGGATCACATCACACACAAAAAAGAACAGTGTTTTATCTCAATAATTATCAGCTAAATGATGTCAAAGAAATACTTTTTTCCCCTCTTCACAAACATGATTTCCTCAGCAAGTGGTATCTGAGATTTGAGATTAGCTTATCTCATTTCTGCAGCTGTGCTTTCTTTTGCATTTTCACCTACGACTATAAAAAAATATCACTTAGTCCTGCTAGGTCTTGAAGAAGAGGCTTGATTTTGCACACTGGTTTCTCAACAGTGTGCAACACCTTCTCATAGCCCAGGGTAGCCCAGATTATAGTAAGAAATTATTTGTGAATAGGCAAGTACTGAGGCTGTCTCTCAGCAAAAAAACCCTCAATTAAACCCCAAATGTGGCCCTCTCAGCAAAGAGAACCAAAAAAATCACCCCCAGCCCCCTCTTATAGCAATAGAATGGAATTCCTCAGTGACAGAAAGAAATATGTATTAAGGTAACTTAAATGCACTACCTAATAGTCTTTGTTTAGTAATTAATTCCTATAATTCCATAAAATTTCGAACATATGATCATTCAGAACTAGATGAAAATGTGAGGAATGGTGATAACCTGTGCTCCAGTTTCCTCTGAGCAACGACGTCTGAAATGGTTATGAAAAAGCATAACGCTTCCTCAGCTGACAACCACATGCTTGTAATGTGCTAAAATAATTGTTCTGACACCAATATTGGGAAATAAGGCATAAAGAGAAATGTGTGCAGCAGAACTGAGGTGCAAACGGTCTGTCAGCTCCAGTTCAGTGCTTCAGACAGAAAGATCTCGCTGTAGATCACTTGTATGACAAGTGCTAATGAGCTCTTTACTCTTCAGTAAGAACTCTTCTCCAGGAGGCTTTAGCAATACCCAGCAACCATGAAAGTGCTTTGTGTGGTTTGATCACTTATCTTGTCGTTTGGATTCACCTGCTCAGCTCAGAGTGTCTGCCTGGTTTTTTTCTTACTGAAGCATAAGTCATTTTCTTCCCTCCTCTAGGACTGAAATAGTAGGATTAGTAGGCTGTATACAAGTGGACAAAATAACTAAATGATACAAAGGAACATGAAGTTAAATTTAGGGAAAAATCTAGCAAGTCTAGGAAAAGAGGGTTTTTTAGGTGGTGTTGACAGAGGGTGGAGGTACTCACTGACATTTTGCAGGCAGATTCCTACAGAAAAACAAGCTGGGGACCCAATTCCACAGTGTGCTTCCCTTGAAGGGGGTGCTGGAACAGTTGTGGCATTTGTCTGGTTGTGCACTGAGCAGCAGGTGTGGTAATCCCACTTTTGACATCCTGTTGACATGTATATACTACTCATACTTAGGGTATGGATTGGTTTTTCACTTTTGGTTTCTGTGGGAATTAGAAAAATTATCCTCTTTAGTGCCAGCTCACAAACAGTGCTGAGCTGCAAGGATCTGAATAAAGTTTTGGGGTAGTTTGGGTTAGGGTTTTTTGGGGTTTGTTTTACTTTTTATTTCATTTTATTTTTTATTCTCAAGCCTCTCAGGAAGTTCTCTGCTCCCTTGATGATTACGGGCCAATTTTCCATGACTTTAGAGAGAGCTGAAATAGGCTGTAATAATGGCAAGGAGCGAGCCATTTCTCCTTTGAAAACTGCTTTTGGTGGCTGCATTTCTGTGAGCAGCCAGTCCTGTCTTGACAGGGTTCATTTGGGTGTTGGCACAGACAGTTACAGCATCAGTACCTACTTTTCCTTACAAACTCAGAGAATCCTTCTGATCATCCTTATGCCAATTTTGGATACATTTCAGTGAAATTGATTCTAATTTATATGTTGCTCTGTAATCTAGTTGATGCTTTTCTCAAATGGTAGAGGAACCTAAGACACTTGAAATCTGAGCTGGCTGATCTCTGCCTTGCAATTGATTTCTTTTTCATTATTTTTATCACATCAGCTCATCTACAGAACATACATTAATGTCATAAACTTTTAAAATATGATTTTTGAGCTCATGCACTGAAGTTTGCTGTAAATCATTTATGCACATTTTCTGATGCTCTTAGAATTATTTCTACTAGAAGTAACATGGATCCCTGAGAAGAGTCCAGAAGCAGTCCTTAGTAGGATCTTCTGTTGCATAAAGCTGAATCCTGGGTGAGATTTTGAAATATAGATGAGGAGTGCAATATGTAAAATATAGATAAGGTTAAAAATGGTCTCTGCTTTCTAATTCACTTTTACTCTTGATTAGTTCTGTTCAGTTGTTGGATGGATGGGAAATTACTTATATCTGTAACATTCAAACCCTCATGGCATAACAGAGCAGAAAAAGATTCTGGTAAGAGAAAGACACAGATTGAGTGAGATAAATATTGATAAATCATTGTAAAACGATTTTTCATTTAATTATGTACAGAAATTCCTGGGAATACACTTTAAATTTATAGCCAGTCTACCGCTGTTCTGCTCTAGTGTTTTCAATTACAAGAACTTGTCATTGACATCTTACGATTTCATGCAGAACATATTTGTTAGCTTTCTTCTTTTCAGCCACACTTATGTGACATCCCAAAATCACTGAGCTTGCTTCCTTTAGTGAGTTTAATCCAAAGCTGCATGGCCATTACCCTTTACCTGTGAGTTTCTGTGCATACCACCCCTTACAACAACGGAATTTGGGACAGTAATGTGCTTCTAAGCAGAGAGACCATTTTGGAGAGCCTATTTTTATTAGTACAGAGAAATACTATTGCGAGCACATGAAGGGAAAAGTCTGCTAAGCCTGTGGAGAATTTTGTTCCTGGCAGTTAGGAGGCTGTGCAATAAACTGTACATCTCTAACAAGAAAAATATCTGGGGAAATAAAATCAATGACTGAAAGACAGTGCTGAGGCTGGAAAGTACTAAATGCTCTAAAGCCATCAAGTTTTCTTTCAGGCTGATTTGATAATAAATTAGATCTTAATTTGCTATGGCCCGGAAAAGATAAATCAATGGCTGAAGCAGCAGCCAAACTACAGGGTGAGATAAAATCCATGGATCTCCCTTTCCTTGGGTTAGCTAAGTTGGAGCAATCTTAATGTTTCCTGTGGTGCCATGTGGACCTGCCTATAAAATGCAGCTATTTCCAGTGGATTCCTTTATTTCCACCGTGGAGATTATACCACCCCGCCCCAGCCAGCAGGCACAGGCCGTGTTTCCTGGATGTTCCGCTGTCTCGTGTAGCACCTCACCCAGTGGAACATTAGTTACCCTGACAACTGGACGTGCCGAAACTCGGGCACTGCCGGATGTTCCACCTCACCTGCCCCACACAGCAGCTGCTGGAGCTGATTTGGCCCAGGGAGCAGCAGCGTTAGGGCTGATAAGCTTTGCAGATGTCCTGGAGGGATGTGCACTTAACTGCTTTGTAGAGGGTGCTGAGATACTAAATACCTGATGCAGTTCTGTCTTCCCTTCGTGTCCACATTATGCATCAGCAAGAGACAAATTGGATCCCAACAGATTTCCTCCTTTTATACCTCAGCTAAAGGAAAACAGCTCTTTATGTGGCTCCCTGCAGCGTGAGCAGGTCGGTAAATGGTGTGGGATGGGGAGGAGTGGTGAGAACAGCAAGGAAAGCCACAGGGTAGATGTGTGCTCCTGGCTAAGTTTGCAAAGCCAATTGCTATTTGTCTTTAGAGATAACAGCTGAGACAACGAGCAGCACTGTGGGCGGGTAGGATAACTTAGACAACCAGAAGAAGCAGGAAATTACTCTCTGAATGATAAAAGATTTTCCAGGTGGAAACAGAGAAGACTTGGGGTTATCGGCCAGTATGGAATCTAGATTGGCAGAACAAATAGCTGGAGACCCAAAACATGGGCAGAACAACAGTGCACATGAGAAATACCGAAATCCAATTAGCTATGAGCAACATCAGAGGGGCTTGTGAAGATTTCAAACATCTGTGGTCTGAAAAACCCAGCTGGAACATTTAGGGGAAAAAAAATTCTCGGACAAACTTCATAGTATGATTTTTTTTGCCTTTGGAAATATTGTAGCCACCTTTTCTCCTCCCAGACAGTTCCCTGCTTAAGGCAGGAAGAAGGAACAGCAGAAGAGCATCGTGCTGAGTGTGAGAGGAGTGAAGCTTGTCTTTACCTCTGAAAGGTACAGCACCTCGAGCTGATGAGAACAAAGTCTGCTGAGTGATTACACTGAGGATTGTGATTAGGTGGAGGGAGAAAAAAGGAAAGGAGGAAAAGTAATGCAAAAATGAAACTCTTCTGTGCTCTGTGTGCCCAGAGGTGCAGGGGGAATCTACCTCCATGTAGTACAGCCTGAAGAATATAAAAAGCAGCTGTAAAGCTGAGCTTGGACTTCTGGGGCTTCCTGACTTGTCAGCCATCAAAAACTTTGGCTTCCCTTTGACTCGAAGTTTTTTACATTTACTTACCTTAGAGTTGTGTTTCTTATTATGACACACGATTTAGGGGCAATAAACATGGGGTAGGAAGAGTTATTAGGAGAGAACTAACAACAGGCAGATGTGCTGACTGTTATGAAAAAATTGGGTCCTGTTTTAGAATTCTTAGTTGTTCTTAGCAGTCTGTCAATGTGAACAGCTCAAATGAAAGCGAGCCAGGATTACAGGACTAGTTTTACAGACATTTTGCTTGTTTTGGCTACATCCCAAGGAAGTTTTCCTGTTGCACTAGCTGTGAAAGTTGATTTGTGGAGGGTGGAGAAAAAAATAGTTTGTTGTGTAGCCTTGTTAAATGAATGACAGGTATTTAGTAGCTGAAACAGCAGATCAGCACCAACCTATTTCTGTATTTTTAACATTTTAAAATGTTTATTTGAAACAGCTTCCTAATAGTTAGAGACTGTTATTTTGATATACAAGAAAGGCGTTTGAATAACAGCTAGCATTACTTGGAAGATGATATTGAGGTGGCAGATAAAAGGTGAGATCTTACCAAACATTGGTCTCAAACAGAAACTGCCTGGGACTGGCTGCTCCCTGTGAGTCAGCCTCTACACCATTGACCTACACTGACAGTGACTCAGTTGTACAGACTAGCAGCCAAATCATGTTTAGAGGAAAAAATATTCAAGGCAAATTGCTTCAATTTAGTTGCTGCTCTTCAAATCTACGAGGAGGGGGGAGAAGTCTTTTAAACTGAAGTTGTTATTCTGCAGCTGACAAAAGGAAAGGAATCACACCAGTACCCAGTCAGCTGGAGGTTGTCATTCCTTCCCTTCATCATTACTGACTTTTTCTGGGTCAGATCAGAGCTTTGCTACTTTGCTTTCAGATGTTTTCCCTCTGTAACCTCATAGATTGCTATGGTACATGTTAGTTTTGCCCTGCACTGCAGTTTTGCCCTGCTCCCCACCTTTTCCTCTCCCAATAAAATGATGTTCCATACAGAGGTGCTTTGGTTTTCCTCCTGAGAAGCTCTCAGAGTTGCCTCCCTCCTTACACACCCTGCAGTGTCAGCCTGTGAGTCACTTGGCTGTAGGGCTGCCTGGGGAGGTCTCTCCAGCAGCAGCTCCTTTGCCTCATTTATGATTCCCTGCTTAGCCACAAAGGGGAGTTTCGGTCTGGCTGGTTGATCTGTCTGTTCCAGGCAATTCCTTGTTCCCAGTCAGGCGGGAAATTGTGCTGCTGGCCAGCGTTGCCAAATGGTGCTCTCAGACAGCTGCTGCTCCCTGCCCCAGTAGCAGAGGGGTGACAGATAAAACTGTGGATGTGTCTGATCTGACTTTGGATTTTCTTAAGGACCTTTACTATTGCCTTGGGTGATATAAATGCCCTAAAAAGCTGAAAGTGGTGCTCTGAGACCTTGTTTTTCGTGGGTGGGCTTCCCAGGTGGTGTGGGGCTGGCACATGGCCCTGTCAGCCCTCTTCCCCAAGGCCACTGCCAGGGAGAGCAGCCAGGCTGTGATGTCCTGGAAATGCTCTCTTCTGTCCCAAGCTGCTGAGAGAAGCCTTCTGTTCTTTCCTTTATTTTGCAGGATTCTCAAGGCTGAATACAATTCAGTCTCTGGGAGTACTGCAAATGCTTAAGGTATTCTGGGCCATGCCTGTGCCTGTTTCTGGCTGTGCACAGGGCTTGCAGGAGTTAACTGCAACTTAAAAAACCACTTTGAGGAGCCAAAATTTTCTCTGCTTTGTCACTATTTTTTTTCAATTAATTTCTGAACATCTGTGAGATAACCTTGAGAGAGGTTTAGAGGAATAAACAGGTTCTTGACAAATTGCTCTTAGGTGAAATAAAAAAGTACATTTTCTCTGAGATGAGAAGCATCTCCAGGAGATGCTTTTCTTACCCTTAAACAATGGGCTTCATTGTCAGTGGGAAGGTAGTTTACATAAATTGTTGTGTTTATCTTTCAGCAATTATTACTGTAACTGCGTTGTATCAGTGATGAATTTTTTGAGGTAGGGAGTCATACAATAAGACAGCAGCTCAGTAAATGGAATAAAAAGAATTAGCAGAAGGTGAAGCTATAAAACAGTAGAGAGAGAAATGCTAATAATGCAGTGTTGGTTTAGTTCTGGAGGAGCTGAAATCTCACTGCTGTTGACTTATAATGTACAAAACAAAGCCTTAATTTAAATTCCAAATTCCCTATCCAATTATGCATAGCAGGGTGGATTTGAATGTGTATTTTCCTGGGTATCAGAGGTGCCTGATTTTTCTAGAAGTAGAATATAATAGATAATGATAGTTGTCAACATTCAGTTATCCTTTGTTTATGCATATGTATAGCACCCTGGTGCTTCTTCTGGAAGCCTGCAGAGAGCTGCTGCTGTTTCTGTCTAAAAGCCCATGGTATGGATGGAGACAGCATAGAGGTGAAAACTAGTCAGTGTTTTTGTTAATGATTCAGACAAAGAACTGGAGAATGGCCTGTTTAAATCCTCAGAGGACACTAAATGGAGTGGGAGTATGGTGGAGAACAAAAAGCTCAGGATTTGAAATGATCTTGTCAAACTGGAAGTGTAATCTGAAATGCATAAAAATTCATCAAGGGGTACAAATGCGAAGCACAGAGCTCAGGAAGAGTGATGGCATGGGGAGAGCTGGCTCAGGAAAGGTACAGGAAAGGATGGCAGTCCCAGGGGAAGATGGCAAAAGAAAAATCCTTTTGGGGGATGTGCATGAGATCTGTAGCCTGTGTGGGAGACGAGTGAGTTGTTCAGCATTATAAGGGCTTGTCCTAGAGGATCAGGTACCAAATCCCACACCATCTGGGTACCAAAATCCAAGAATGCTGTGCACCAATTGAGGACTGTGTAGAGAGGAAAAGAGAGTTGTTGAGAGTGTGAAAACATGACCTCTGTGAAAAGGTGAAGCAAATTAATGTTCTTTGGCCTGAAGAGAGGATTGAGAGGATCCATCCTTTGAACCTGGTTACAGGCGTTTGCAGTGTGGAAGGGAATGGCTTGTTCTGCCTGACTGCTGTTGGTAAAGCAAGAAAGAACGGCCTTAAACTGAGGAAAATGCAGAGGACTTTCCTGAGGTAAAGATACGGAAATGTTGGCATGGATTGCAAAGACTGAAATCTGTCAGGCTCTCAAGTCTTTAAGATCAGGCTGCAGAAATACATGTCAAGAATAACGTGCACAGCTGGTGGTGCCACAGGACACAGAGAAGTAATCCTTCAGTGGTGCAGAGGAGCACAAGGAGGCTGAGTGTAGGTAGCTAATCTGCAGAATGTCTCTTGACATAGACTAGTCTTCCTAGAATCACATATACACATCCCTGGCCCCCTCCCCGAAATCTGCCGTTTTCTCCACCTCCTTGCATTTGGCAGCTTGGTCTTAACAAACAAGGAATCTAGAATGGCTGAATTGCTTGTGATGTCAGCAACCACAGATCTCAAATAGCTGGTCTCATTTATCCCACCAACCAAAATAAAATGCAGACAGTGAGTTATTAAAAAACAGGTTTCTGAGCTGCTAACTGGAGAATTAGAAAACTAACCAGACAAACTGTGGTGGAGTTTGTATTCTGCCTGCTCTGTGCTGGGGTGTGCTTGCCAGTTTGCTTCAAGCATGAAGGCTGTGTGCTCCCAGGGAGCTGAAGCTCCCTTAAATCAAGTGTAGTGGCTACTACTGGTTTAGAATTCTTATGCCTTTCAAAAAATGCTGGCTATTGCCTCTATACCTGCCTCCATATTAGGTAGGCTGGATTTACTGTTTTATTAGGTGAGTACCTCTTGAAAGGTCCTTTCTGGCAGAAGATGAATATTGGCTGGAATAAATGAAGGCTGTGCTTTCCATTTAATGGATAAAGTGTCTGGTTCTTCAGGCTTTTGGTATGAGAGATTTTCTTTTGTTACATTTTTATACAAGCTGAACAGTATTTCTGATTTGTCAGTGAAGACTCTGAGTCTTTAAGGTCTCTGTGAGAGCTGTCTATCAGATTCTATATTTAAAATTTATTATGAAATAGCTAAGTGGCTATAAAATGTACAAAAATCATTGCTGGACAAGCTGTTCACTGAAATACTTCACCAAGTTGCTAATGTGTCACTCTGTTGATGTATTTGGTTGTGGTAAAGAAGATACAGTATCTTTCATATTTTGATAGTTACCTGCATTGTAAATTCATAAAGGTACAAAGAAACAGGATTTTAAAAGCAGAACCAAAACATTATGTGCTTCAGAGCTCCCTGGGAAGGGTATGGGAAATTCAGGCTGCCTTTCACTCTGCAGTTGGTCCAAAGATAAGGATGCTAGGTGGGGAGTAGTTCTGTAATTACTAGGGAGGAGTAGCCCACATCAAATTAACTTGGTTTTTAATCCTAAATTAGTTTGGACCAGGAATCCTCTAAAGTTAAAAACAAGTGGTTTGGAGTAGGCGAGGAGTTCAGCTATCCAGGGATAGGAAAAGGATTCACTTTGGCTTTCTTCTGCAGGTCAGTGGAAGAATTCTCCAAGTTTTTGACTTGCCAAACCCACCTCAGTTGCACTAAAGTAAAACCTTAATGTTGAAATACCTGATGGAATAATTTGTCAGAATCTGAACTAAATCTCCACATGGAAGGGCTCCTTCCATGTCTGTTGTGCTTTTGACTTACCTTGTCCAGTCCTGTTTCCTCAGAGCTGCATGAAGTCCCTTCATTCTTCTGGGAATGCCATCACTCTGGGTAGT